AAGCTAGCCAACACTGGAATAGGCTGTTCTAAAGTAGAGTGTTCCCTGTCACCCCAGGTGCATAAGCGGAGATGTCATTGTAGGGTTCAGCTTTGGACCTTGACTTTCGGTGCTGGAGAGACATGCAACTGGTTTTATTCAGTATTATTCATTCGATTTATTTAATTCCACAAACATTTTCTGAGCAGCTACTCTGTGGCAGATACTAGGCTAAGCCCTGGAGATACTGGGATCAATCAGACTCTTAGCTCTCCAGGACCTGATAATCCATGAGGATGGCGGGAGCTGTCACTTCCTTGTCCACAACACCAACAACACATAGGAAGTTCAGAGGCAGCCAGAGAGAGAGTCAGGACAGACTTCCTGGAAGAGGCAATGAAAACCAAGGTGCTCTGGCCATATGCGGGATCTGGGGGATGTAGGGGAAGACCTGCCCTGGCTGCTCTGTGAGTGATGAAGGATTTAGACTTCCAGAACTGATGGTCGTTCTTTTTCCTAGGCCCTGTCCTTAGTTGACTCATTGGGACCCTCCCGCTCCCTACTGCTTTTGGAAACACAATTCCTGTGAGTACTCGGAATGTTCCCTAAATCTCTCAGAGCACACATTTTGTGGATCGAAGCTCCACTATGATGTTTTTGCCTCAATCCCTTTATCCTTTGGTTCAGGGAGGCTGAAATCTAAGTTTCTCCAGAAGTAGGTTTTGCTTGGTCAATCATAGCAAAAAGAGACCACATTTCCTGGATTACTAAACCAATACAGCCTAAGGCAACAGGACCGGGCATAATTTCTGTGTTGCTCCTCCTTCTCCCCTGAAAGACTCCCCCCTTGGCATGTTTCTTCCCACAGATGCTCCCCTATTGTGAACTGATGCCAGTGATGTTCAAAGTGACCACATTAAGGGGTAAAGCCCCAGGGAATCAGGGGAAAAATAAAAAAGAAAGCCACACACAGGTACTATTTACTAGATAAAGACAAATGTGTTCACACCCTGTCATGAGCATGAGTAACCCCAGTAATGCACTTAGAGAGGAGGCCCTGTTGGAAACCCCGCCAAGTTTCTTATTCCCCTTCTATTCTTATCTGTCTGCTCTTTTTTAGTCTTCGGTTAGGGCTTTCAATTCTTTCTATGCTTTGTTAAGTAACCGTCTTTTAGCCAGGATCACAGTTGGTCTGGGAGATGCGAGAGGTACCATGCAAGAAAACAGATGTAGTCACAGGTTTGCTCCGAGACTGTGACTTGGGAGAGGCTAGAACACATTCACTGGTCTATTTTCCTTGCCTATTTTTCTTTTGTGCCCCCACCAAAATGACTCATGTGCTTTGCTTTGGGCAAGCCCTATAGCCTCTGTCACTCCGTGGGACGTGCGGATCAGGGCATGCACTCTTCCTTTCTCTAAGCAAGGAGTCTCATTTTAGCTTGGTTGAGGCGTCAGCTAACAATTCAGACCCAGGTACACGAAACTTGCTAACAAAGGTCAGTACGCCAAAGAAGAGGGAGTTACTGGCAAAAGAAGACCACAAGTTGCCAAGAGTTACAAAACACCAGGGCCTGAACAGCATCTGAGTGAAGGGCCACATCCTCCAGCATTCAGGCTTGGAATGCTTTGTTGGGGAGGCGGATCTGGGGACTAATTATTCTTAAAAGGTCACCTTGGGGAAACTGTTACCTTTTCCTCCAGAAATACTTTACAGTCTCAGAGGCTCAGAGCTGGAGTCTGTAGAAGTCATCCAGTGTGCTCTCAAAGTTTGCTGCCCACTGGAATTACTGGAGGGACGGAGGGAGCGCTTTACAGAATCTTAACACTCAGATCCCAACTCTGACCCAGGACATCAGACTCTCTGGGCGTGGGGCCCAAGTGCCAGTATTTTTCAACTCTTCAGGTGCTTCCAATACTCAGCTAAGTTTGGGAACTTGGGATCTGACCCTTACTATTCAAAGCATGGTTTGTAGTGCTGCAGTACCACCAGGGGGCGGGTTAGAAATGCACATTCTTGGGTCTTACCATGTACCTGCTGAATCAGAATATGCATTTTAACAAGATCAGCGAGAGACTTGTATGTGTATTAAAATTCGATTTTTACTGTTCTTGAAAGATTGGACAATTTGGCAACAACAGGCCAAATTCTCTTTCTGAAACTACAAGCTGGAGTTGTGTAGTAGCTGCTCCCTTGAAGAGGAACCTCCAGGCTCCAGTTTGTCTCAGTTCTACACTTGGCTAGGTTCATTCACTGCCATACCTGAGCCTAGTTGGAACTTGAAGGTTTTTTAAAGTTGTGATAAAATACACATAAAATAAAATTTACCATTAGTGACATGTAATATACTCACGATGTTGTGCAATCATCACCACCACTTAGTTCCAGAACATTTTCATCATCTCAAAAGGAAATCCCCTACCTATAAAGCAGTCACTCCCCATTTTCCCCTCCACTCAGCCCCTGGCAACCATTAATCTGGGAATCTTCCTGGGTTTGCTTAGTCTGAATGTTTCTTATAAATGGAATTATACAATATGTGGCCTTTCGTGCTTGGCTTCTTCCATTTAGTGTAATGTTTTCAAGGTTCATTCATGTTGCAGCATGTATCAGTACATTCTTTTTTATGGCTGAATAATATTCCTTTGTAGGGTTATACTGTATTTTGTTTATCTATTCATCAGTTGATGGACATTTGGATTGTTTCCAGCTTTTGGTTATTGTGAATAGTGCTGCTGTTAACATTCATGTGCAAGTTTTTGTTTAAACACCTGTTTCCAGTTCTTTGGGGAATATACCCATGATTGGAATTGCTGACTCATATGGTAATCCTACGTTTAACTTTTTGAGGAACAATCTGTTTTCCATAGCAGATGCACTAGTTTACATTCCCACCAATGATGTATTAATATGAAGGTTCCAATTCCTCCACGTTCTCACCAACACTTATTATTTTACACTTTTCTTCTTTTTAAATTCTAGCTATCCAGTGGGTGGGAGGTGGTATCTCACTGTGCCTTTGATTTGCATTTCCCTAATGACTAATGATGAATATCTTTTCATGTGCTTGTTGGCACATATCTTCTTTGAAAAATTTTCTAAGTCCTTTGGTCATTTTAAAATTAGGTTGCTTGTCTTTTTGTTGTTAAATTGAAAGTGTTCATTGTATCTTGTGGATACTGACTCATCAGATAATTGGTAAATATTTTCTCCCATTCTGTGGGATTTTTCACTTTCTTTTTTTTTTTTTTTTTTTTTTTTTTTTGAGACAGAGTCTCGCTTTGTTGCCCAGGCTAGAGTGCCGTGGCGTCAGCCTAGCTCACAGCAACCTCAAACTCCTAGGCTCAAGTGATCCTCCTGCCTCAGCCTCCCGAGTAGCTGGGACTACAGGCATGCGCCACCATGCCCGGCTAATTTTTTATATATATATCAGTTGGCCAATTAATTTCTTTCTATTTATAGTAGAGACGGGGTCTCGCTCTTGCTCAGGCTGGTTTTGAACTCCTGACCTTGAGCAATCCGCCCGCCTCGGCCTCCCAAGAGCTAGGATTACAGGCGTGAGCCACAGCGCCCGGCCTTCACTTTCTTGATACTGCTCTTTGATGCACAAAAGTTTTTAATTTTAATGAAGCCCAATTTATATATTTTTTATTTTGTTGTCTGTGCTTTCAGTGTCATGGGATTTGAGATATTTTCACCTAGACAAGAGCGATGGACAGGGAGAAAGAGAGATCTGAGGGGGAAGGTTAGGTGGGGATGACACGAGGTTTCTATCTCCAGTTCAACCAGAAGATGGCAACATGTATCTGCTTTATACAAGGTTCTGCAGTTTTATGCACATATGACCAACAGATTAGAACTACTGGATTGTGCTTCTCAAACTTTAACTATTGAATATTAGTGGGAAACTTCAGTGTGTCAGATTGGCCTTTCTAAAAACTAGTCCTAAATGGTATATGTAGCAATTAGAATTTAATGTTTTCTGGTTTCAATTAAGTTTTATTTGTAATAAAGCAAAAGCATACATTTTTGGAAAAGGATGTGATACTTCTTTTGTTTTACTTGCCACACTTTTGGGAAGTCAGGATATTTGGCCCAAATCCAAACCTGCTGTCTACCTGGCAGCAACTCACCCATGCTGAGGGAATATTCCATGGAAAAAATAGCCAACTTCATGCATACCAGCTTCAGGACCATGTGCTGCATTTGCCTGAGGTCATGCAGCATGTGAATAAGAGTTTAATACATTGACTGCCACACTAGAAAAAAATTTTTTTGGGGGGCCATCGTGTTTTATTACGAAAATAGAATAAAAACTTTAAAAACAAAACGATCATTTCTAATTTAATGAAGAATTTGTTATTTTTAAATTGTTTTCTGTGTATGAGTTACATGCAACTTGAAAAATAGTTCACATGGCTCCCAAGGTGAAGAGACGTGAGTTACATATGCTTCACGAGGCCCCAGGCTCAAAACTAGCATCAGTTAAATACAACTCACAGGGCAGTTAACATGCTAAACACATGTCTTCTCATTTCAAATCTAGACCATGTGTCCAAAATAAAATCAGATCAATATTTACTGGTCTCTGTGATTGGCACTATTACTACTAGCTGCTCTCATTTTTTTGAAGCTTTTTATGTTCCAGACATTGTGCTGGCACATCTCATCTTCCCAATGACTCAAGAAGTGGCTCCATGATTATTCTCATTTTACCACTGAAGAAACTGAACTCAAGGCAAGTAACTTGCCCAGGGTCACATAGATTGTGTCAGGTAGGAAATTAACCCGTGTCTGACTCTAAAGCCCATATCCTGAACTACCAAGCGAAACATTTTAAAGATGACCGAGTTCTGAAAAATGACCTCGGCATCCACACTCCTCCCAGATTGAAAGGGAGATGACAGGTAGCTGGCCCTGGCTTCTGCGCATGCTCAGACACCGCCCCCTCCCTTTCACCCCGCCCCTTTTGCTGCGCAGGCGCGCTCACTCCAGTGCTGGCGGCGCGACCCAGCCCGGGACAGGCTTCGGCGCGCAGTGCGCGTGCGCGGAGCAAAGGGCTGCGGTCCTTCAAGAGGGTCGGAGATGGCTGCCGCCGAGGCGCCCTCGCCCGAGCCAGCGGCTCCAGAGCAACCCGCGGAGCTGCCCGCCTCGGTGCGCGCGAGCATCGAGCGGAAGCGGCAGCGGGCGCTGATGCTGCGCCAGGCCCGGCTGGCTGCCCGGCCCTACCCGGCGACGGCGGCTGCGGCTACTGGAGGTTTGGGCCCGGCGGCGCCTGCCCTTCCCTCTCCCGCTCTCCCTGGTCCAGACCGGCTTGCGCGGGCTGAGTCCCGGCTCCCGGAGGGAGTCCGCCCGGCCGGCCTCGTGGAGGAATCCTGTCCGCGACCGCAGAGACATTCTGCGGCAGGACCCGGCCTCCTGACTCCCGGCCCCGGGCTCCGCTGCCTGCGCCTGGGCCGCCCGGAGTCGGGTGTGCGCTCGGGGGCGCGGCCGCCCGGAGTCGGGTGTGCGCTCGGGGGCGCGGCCGCCCGGAGTCGGGTGTGCGCTCGGGGGTGCCGGCCCGCGCCGGTCCGCGCCTCGGCGCTCCCAGGGAGAGGAATTGGGCCAGCCCCTGGCTCTGGCCTGCGTATCTAGGACTAGATGATGAAAGGGGCGGAGTTCAGTGTTTGTCAAGGAAGAACTTTCAACAGGTGGAGTTGCCAAAAGTGGCGGGGTTTACTTCTAGTCCTAGCGAGCTTCCCGTGACTGGAAGTGCTCGGATGGAGACTGAAGTGTCTTTACTGGCGTGGAATAAACGACATTCAAATATCAGATGAAGGGACTGGAAGTAAACCTTTAAGATTCCTTCTAATCCATAGATTCCACGAGTCTATGCTCTTGGATATGTGACATGCTACGATTTCTTGGCAAAAAGTAGATACTCAAAACATATTTATTGATTGAAGGAAATTAAGGGCTGATCGCTCATTGCAAATTGTTCTCCTACAGAAGAATTCATCACTGGGGTCAAGTAATAATATTTCCTTGGGTACCTAAAGTATAGTTTGGTTGACGGGCGGTTCTTCAGGACTACCTCTACCATGAAGTACTTGTGTTCCCAGTCTGTCCTATACTGTATGAATGGATGAGCACAGTTCAGAGCTGTATTATCTGCTACCCCTTTTCATCAGCCAGAGGTAGGAAGAGTGAGAAGAGTCTGGGGCTGGCTGCATGTCTTGATATTCATGCTGACAGCTGAACTGCAAATTCCAGCCACTTTTAATGGTTCCGATCTCATCCTTTCCGCTTTCTAGTGGCTTTCTTTTGTTCCTTTCTCAGCTTGAGGCATTCTAGAGTCAGGACAAAAAGTTGTTCATTTGCACTGATTAATTTATATTCATGATTCCATAAAGGTTTCTAGATAAGTACTCCGCGGCTGTGGAACAGAAAGTGAAAGACAGCAAAAGCTGATATTAAATTAAACCTCTGATTATGGAAAGCAAGGTAGAATTGATATTCTGTAAGATTTCGTATGCAGTTACCCAAGATCTGAACTGTGTTGTAGCATTGGCTACAATCCACCATGTTTCAAGAGTTATATAAGTGCTGGGATTTTTATCTTTGCTGTACTTTTATTTCAATGTACGGTATGTACACTTTTCGTTTTCTTTGTGTGTGATGGCATATGCCTTGAAAAAGACTGAAAACACTTTTTAGCATGTGGTGCTAAGAGTGATGCTAAAGTCCTGAGGAAGCAGCAAGAGATAGCAGCAGAGAGAAATTGGGCTTTGTTTTGGGCACGATTCACTAGCATTGTTCAGGATCCAACTCAAGTCACGGCATTGACTACTCCAGCTTTCCCTCTTCTTAATTCTCATTGCACTTATGGTGATTTCTTTCATTTTCTACACTACTATTTCATGAAGTCAAAATCATATGTTCTTGTATGTTCATCCATTTCTGTCCATCCAGTAGAAACTCATGGACTGCTTATTATTTGTCAGAGTTACAGAGATAAAGATGCTCAATCTAATGAAGGGATGTAGAAAGATAAACAGGCAATATAGTATAGGATGAGAATTGCCATTAACAATGGAAACAAGGGTTATAATCTAATCCTTTCATTTAATAGAGGAAGAAATTGAAGCCAGAGAATGGGAATGACTTAAGCAAAATAATACATACTAAATTTGTCTTTTTTAAGATTGTTGTATAACATACATTAATATGTAAAATGTACTGATCTAAACTATGCTTGTGTAAATGCTCATGTAAACACCATAGTGATCAAGATACAGACATTTCCAGAACTTTGGAAGTTTTCCTGTTGCTACTTCCTAGTCAATGTGCACACCACTCCCCCTCAGAAGTAACTACTACTCTACACATTTGTTTAATATTATCTGTTTTTGAGCTTAATATAAATGGAATCACACACAGCCTTTGGCTTTTTGTGCAACATAGTATCTGAGAGGTTCATGCACTTTGTTGCATGTGTTCGTAGTTTGTTCATTTCTATGTTACATAGTATTCTTTTGTATTTTGCAATTTTTCCATTTGCCTTTTAATGGGTATTTGGGTTATTTCCAGTTTGGGGCTATTATGAATAAAACCTCTGTTAGCATTCTTATATATGTCTTTTGATAGACATACACACTTATTTCTGTTGTGTATATGCCTAGAGATGGAATTGCTGGGTCATTGGGGAGGTATATGTTAAGCTTTAGTAGACATTGCCAAACTGACTCAGTTTACAGTCTCACCAGCAATGTATGACAGTACTGGTTGTTCTATATCTTCACTATTTGGTTTTGCTGGTCTGTTTCATTTTAGACATTCTTGGGAGAGTATAGTGATATTTCATCATGGTTTTAATTTGTATTTTCCCAGTGATTAATGATGATGAGAACCTTTTCATGTGCTTATTGGCCATTTGGATATCCTCATTTGTGAAGTGCCTATTAGGACTTTTGAATTTTTTTTAGGTTTTTTAGGATTTTTAGGTTTTTGGGGTTGTCTTTTACTTATTTATAGAATTTTTTTATATATTCAGGATATGACTCCTTTGTCAGATGTACATACATTAGTCCCCCCTTATCTGCAGTTTCACTTATCTATGGTCAACCATGGTTCAAAATATTAACTGGAAAATTCCAGAAACAAATGATTCATCCGTTTTAAATTGAGCACTGTTCTGAGTATCATGATAAAATATCAAGGTGTCCTGCTCCATTCCTGCCTGGATGTGAATCTTCTCCTCATCCAGCATATCCCATCTAATTTATCAGATTGAAAAACGTAGTATATATAAGGCTTGATATTATCAGAGGTTTCAGGCATCCACTGAGGGTCTTGGAAATCCCCTGCAGATAAGGGGTGACTACTGTATTTCAAATATCTTCTCACAGTTTGTGTTTTGTCTTTTCGTTCACATAGTGGTATATTGATGAATGGAAGTTCTTAATCAAGCCCAGTTTAGCATTTTTCTCTTATGGTTAGCATTTTTTGTGTACTGTTTAAGAAATTTGGGTTACTCCAAATTCATGAAATTATTCTCCTTTGTTTTCTTCTAGAAGTTTTATTGTTTTACTTTTTACATTGAAGACAATGATTTTTTTTTAATTTCAAAGAATTTAGGGGGTACAATTGTTTGTTATGTGAATAAATTGTATCATGCTGAAGTCAGGGCTTTCAGTATACCCATCACCATAATAGCCTACATTGTACTCAACAGGTAGATTTTTATCCCTCACCCCCTCCCACTCTTCCCCCTTCTTAGTTTCCAATATTCATTACAAATCTTTATGACCATATATATCCTTCGTTTAGCTCCCACTTATAAGTGAAAACATGTGGTATCTGTGTTTCCATTCCTGAAATACTTCACTTAGGGTAATGGTCTCTAGTTCCATCCAAGTTGCTGCAAAAGACATTATTTCATTCCTTTTTATGGCTGAGCAGTACTGCATGGTATATATATATACCACATTTTCTTTATCCACTTATTGGTTGATGGGCATTTAGGTTGATTTCATATTTTTGCAATGGTGAATTGTCTGGGATAAACATTCTGGTACAGGTATCTATTTGATAAAATGACTTTTTTTTTTTTTTTTTTTTTTTTTTTTTTTTTTAGTAGATACCTAGTAGTGGAATTGCTTGATTGAGTGGTAAGTCTGCTTCTTTAGTTCCTTGAGGAATCTCCATACTGCTTTCCACAGTGGTTGTACAAGTTTATATTCCCGCTAACAGTATATAAGCTTTCCCTTTTTACCACAACCTCACCAACATCTATTGTATTTTGACTTTTTAATAATGGCAGTTCTGATGTGGCTAAGGTGATATCTCATTGTGGATTTAATTTGCATTTCCCTGATAATTAGTGATGTTGAGCATTTTTTCATATGTTTGCTGGCCATTTTGTCTGTCTTCTTTTGAGAAGAATCGTCATGTCTTTTGCCCACTTTTTTATGGGATTGTTTTTTTTCTTGCTGATATGTTTCAGTTCTTTGTAGATTCTAGGTATTAACCGTTCATTGGATGTATAGTTTGCAAATATTTTCTCCCATTCTGTAGGTTGTCTATTTACTCTGTTGATTATTTCCTTTGCTGTGCAGAAACTTTTTAGTTTAATTAAGATCCATTTTTTATTTTTGTTGTTGCTGTATCTGCTTTTGGGATCTTACAAATAAACTCGTTGCCTAGGCCAATGTCTAGAAGAGTTTTTCCTATGTTTTCTTCTAGAATTTTCATGGTTTCAGGTCTTACATTTAAATCTTTAATCCATCTTGGGTTAATTTTTATGTATAGTGTGAGGTAGGGATCTGATTTCATTCTTCTGCATGTGGCTATCCAGTTTTCCAAGCCCAATTTATTGAATAGGGCATCCTTTCCTCAGTGTACGTTTTCGTCTGCTTTGTCAAAAATCAATTGGTCATAGCTGTATGATTTTATTTCTGGATTCTCTATTCTGTTCCATTGGTCCATGTAAGACAGTGATCTGTTTGAAGTTTACGTGTGTGTGTTTGTGTGTATGTGTGTGTATTATATACGGTAGGGTCAAAGTTTATTTATTGAAAAGACCATCTTTTCCTACCCGTATTGTAGTGGATCCTTTGTCATAAATCTCAGCACCATTTATTGAAAAAATTATCCTTTCCTACGGAATTGCCGTGGAGCCTTTGTCGCTAAGTTAAATGACCAACTATATGTAGGTATATTTCAAAGACTCTCTCTTCTGTTCCATTGTCTCTTTGTCTCTGTGTCAATACCTCAGTGTCTTAATTACCTACTAAAGCTTTATAGTAGGTTTAAAAACCTACTAAAGCTTTATAGTAGGTTTTTAAATATAATAGTGTAAATCCTCTTTCTCTTTACATATAAATATTAGAAACAGGTTGTCAGGACTCCCTCACCCTGCCCACACCCCACTGCTTGGGCTTTAACTGAGATCACATTGGATCTTTAGATAAATTTTGGGATACCTGATATGTTTACAATATTAAGGCTTAAAATCTATACATGGTATATTTTTCCATTAATTTAGGTATATAATTTCTCTTAGTGTTTTGTAGTTTTCAGTGTAGAGGTTTTACACTTTTCTTCGTAGGTTATTGTTATTTCTTAATTGTTTTCTCTTTATTTCAGTAGATTTAGTGGGTACAAGTGGTTTTTGTTAAATGGGTATATTGTGTAGTATGTTATTTTTAAATTCTAATTGTAGATTCTTGTGGCTATTTTGCATACATAATCACATCATCTGTGAAAAAATACTTTTTACTTCTTTTTTTTTCCCCAACCTTTATGCTTTTTTGGTTTTCTTGCTGTATTATAGTAGCTTGGGACCTTCAGTATGATATTGAAGAGAAATGGTGATCATAGACATGATCACTTTATTCGATATACAGGCATTACCTGGGTGATGGGTGACCCCAAGTTATGGCATTGTTTAAACAGTTGTTTACACACAGCATCACTTTCATCTTACATTTCTTATTCAATTTTGTGAGTCTGTGTGTATGACTTATGACCATGCCTCCAACGTGAAAGTCCCCTGCAAGTCCAGATGAGGCCTGTAGCAAAGAGAAAGGTGATTACAATGGAAATGAAAGTAGAAATAAGCCTTCAGAGAAAGGCCAGATGCCGTCATTCGCTGGGAAAGCATTAGGCTTCAGTTACTCAAATGTCAGAACAATTATCAATTAGAAAGGATAAAGTGAGAATAACAGAACATATGAAAGGCAGTGCTCCAATGCAAGCATCAATTACTATTTATTTTTTATTTTTTTGAGACAGAATCTCACTCTGTCACCTTGGCTAGAGTGCAGTGGCATCATAGCTCACTGCAACCTGTGACTCCTAGGTTCAAGCAATCCTCCTGCCTCCTCCTCCCAAGTAGCTGGGACTACAGGTGTGTGCCACTGTGCCTGGCTAATTTTTCTATTTTTGGTGGATATGGGGTCTTGCTTTTGATCAGGCTGGTCTGGAACTCCTGAGCTCAAACAATCCTCTTGCTCTGGCCTCCCAGAGTGCTAGGATTACAGGTGTGAGTCACTGCACTTGGCAAAAGCATCAATTTACTAAGCAGTGTGGTGGATTCATTATTGAGATTGAAAGGTCATTATTGATTTGGTTAGAAGATCAAATTAAGCATAACATTCCTATTAGCCTAGCCCTAATGCAACATTAGGTAAATGTTAATCTTTAATATTCTTTTTTGAAATTTCTCCTAATTCCTATCTAAACTTTTTATATGAGTTTCTTTTTATGTTCTGTTTGTTTGAATTAAAAGAAAAAGCACAATAGTTCCCATAACTTATTACAGTACAGGTATATCATTATGATTATTATTTATTACAGTATTACACTGTATTATCATTACCACAAGAGCCATTATAGCATTATCATTATTATTATTATTACCATATATGCTTTGTTCATCAGGGATCTGAGTTACATACAAATCTGACCTAAAGACACTCTCAGGAATGTATCTTGTCTGTAACCTGGGGACCGCCTGTATATTGAATTTAAAGAAGTTTCCTGTTTGTGCACAAGAGAACATATGCGCTTACCAAGTTTGATTGTTGACCATTTTTGCTTACTTTTTGTAGGCATGAGTAATATAAAAGCAGCCCCAAAGATAATTGACACTGGAGGAGGTTTCATTTTGGAAGAGGAAGAAGAAGAACACAAAATTGGAAAAGTTGTTCATCAACCAGGTAAAATGAGTTTTTCAGAAAATAAATATCTAGCACACTTATAACTTTGACTCAAACAGTACAAAAGCAATTTATGTAATCAAAACATTTAAACCCCTGTAATATTCTGAAATTTAAAAATAATCTAGATTGGTTATTTTGTGTAATATGAATAATTCTTTGCAAACTGATGCTAAATAATACCACACTTACTTTAACCTGTGAGCAGATTAACTTTATAAGAGTAATAAAGTTTGACAGTTTTGCTAATAGATTAAAAAAAGTCAAAGAAACTCCTATACATATGGAAATGATTGTTTAACTTATTGGTGTATTTAGGGGTTAATGCTCTCTGTTACTTTATAATAGTTAGGAACAGCCAATATATTGACTAATACAATAAATATTCAAAATTTCTTGATAGGCTGAAATGAGAGGCCAGAACCTAAGAGATAAAATTTAGGACATTCTGTTATTTATGTTTGGAGAAACAAAGCAGTTTACAAAAGATAAAATAGGGAGACCTGGCAGAAAAAGAATATAATTATTTTCTAAGGTTAACACTTAGATGAATCATTTATATATACATGTTGGGAAATAGGGCTAAGTGGCCTGGAAAGTTTCAGGAGTTTTGCAGGGCTTTGCCTTGAAGGAATCTGTGGGCATGTTAGTCCACAGACCAGAAGCTGCTTAGCAACAGGGGGGGCATTCCACCAATCAGGGGCAACTACAAGGCAGCGCTGATTTCAAGGCCTGCAGGCCAGTGCCTGGAGCTTGTCCAAGGCAGAGCTTGGCATGGGCCACAGGTTAAGAAACTGATCAAAGGATGTCAGCCCAGCAAACATCTGCAGCTAAAACCAGTTAGCCTCAAGGACTGTTCCTGCTTCACTCTTGATCACGTGTCAGCTAATGAGAAACTAGATAAAGAAATATATGGTCTCTGTGTTTCTGTTTTAGCTTTACTGCTAATTGACAAGTCTATCTTTAACTTGTATACTCAGGTAGGTCTACTCATTACTTAGAACTTAAGAAGTTTATATTAGAAAAATTTTATAACTGTTTGCTCACGTAGATAGAATTAATTAAGGGATCCCATAAAACCTTTGGGGAGCCTTGAAACCTAAACAAATGATTTGTACACATAAATCTATAATCACTAACAACTAATTGCTGTACCAGTAAATACTGATGTGAGATTTCAGTATGTGCCTCCTGGCTCACAGGAATGCTGGAGGACCCCTGACTTCCCCATCACTTTAAACTACACTTTGTCTCTGGCTCTATTATTTCCAAATCTCTTGTGGTGATCCTGCCTGGGACCTGTTTTGCTGGGAGAGTTGCTAACTCCCGGCATATACACGTATCCTCAGAGCAAGGGTACTTTCACCCTCTTTGAAAAAGATAAAAATACTTTATTTGATCATAAGTTTGACAGGCAATAGTGTAATATGACAACTTGGAAAACCTATTTCAGGCATTAGCTGCAGCAACAAAAGTGTTGTGTATTCATCAAGGTATTAATAGATAATAGCCCTATTCTAGTCTGTGTGCGTCTAAATGTTTTCAGAAGTTGAGACTTGAAGGATTAAAATACTTGTTTTTATTTCACGTGTTGTATTTTAAGAGGGTTATAGGCAAGTATATAGTGTCCAAAGAAAAGGGTGGCCAAAATAGAAGTCTTGAAATTGACATATGAAGAACAGTTGTCAAAACTGGTTAGGTTTAACTTGGAGAATACTTCCAGCTGCCTGCAAATGCAAGAGGTACTCTTTCATGATGGAGAGATCATACTTAACGGTGATTTGCTTTAGAGGGCAGAACTTGGAGCAATGGATGGCCATTACAGGGAGGGAGATTTCAGCCCAGAATAATAAAGGTGTACCTTAAGCATATTTAGCACTTGGCACTTAGAATGTTGACATATAACAGGTGAGCCTCACAGTGACTCTGTAAAATAGAGAAATTTCTTAACCATCTGGATTATTGCCTGTAACTAGCAAAGCATTGGAGGAGTTCAGAGATTGGAAGATGACTACCGGACCACAATGTTGTGGAGAAGAAGCCCCGCATTAGGAGGAAACACATTTAATGCAATGCTCTTTAAAGTCCATATGATTTTAGGCTATGAAGACTCATTGTAACTATATTTTTTATGGATTCCTAAATCTATCATGGGCTGTAAAGCCTATGCTTTTATTTAACAGGTCATTCAACAAATATTTGTTGAGAACCTACTGTAGTGCCTTGACCCTTGACTAAGGTGTGCATGTGGCAGGTGTTATTGTTATTCATGCATTGATGTGCTGCTGCTTGCACATAAACTCTGGTAGTGAACTTGTGCAAATTAGAAAAACTATTCCCTTTGGGTGACAAATTAGAAAAAGGCCCCCTTTGGGTTGATATAGCTTGGGTCAGGGATCATGGCTTAGCATGTAGTTATAGCCTGTTTGCTCCCTTGGCCAGATGCTTTTGCATAAGGGGCATACTTCTACAGCTTTCTGTGGCTGACCTACATAGGTAGAAGAAAACAGGAGTGGTTAACATTTTCTATCACTTTTTCTTGGTTAATTTTAAGAAACAGTCTATTTCTTCAGCATAAATGAGAAAAGTCAAAATAATTTATTTAGATCATTAAGCTTTGTTGCATATAAAGCAAAGCCTACCAAATACTTTTTGGGTCCAGGATTCTGATGGTGGTTCATCAGAATCACCAGGAAGGTTTTTTTTTTAAACACAGATTACTGAGCCCTATCACTAGAATTTCTTTTGATTTAGTAGGGCTGAAGTAGAGCCTGAGAATTTGTTTCTAAGTTCCAAGGTGATGCTGCTGCTGCCGCCCCAGGGATCACACTTCAAGAACTTTGGTCTAGAAGATTAACTTCATTATGTGCTTTAGATCCATAGGGGAATGCAACTACATTGTGGCAGTTCTCAGGGTTAGGGCAGTAGCATTCAACCCAAAGACTTATTAGTAAAACTTAGAGACTTACTGGGAGAACCAGTTCTTACAGGATTAAGATCCTTAGCTAGGCATTTGAAGTCTTTAAAAAAATCTAGCTTTACCCTATCTAAAGTGGTTTCTGTGCTGGGTGTAGAGGATGCATGGCTAAATACAATCGCTCCCCTCAAGGAGTTTATAATCCAGCAATTGAGACAGATAAAGAGGAAGCTACTTGCTTTGTTGGTAGTATGTAGAATGGAGGGAGAAAAAAATTTTCCCATTTGGAAGTGAATTCTGTATTGCCTTGTCCACTGCTGCCTTGCTCTTTATTGCTCTTTACCATGTTGTTTGTGGGTGCCTTGTCTCCCCTGTCTGTGAATAGATCCCTCCTGTCCCCCCATCTGGGACTAATTTCTTTTGTACTTTGAACAGTACTGTGGTAGGCAGAACATGGTCCCTAAAGATGTCCATGTCCTAATCGCCCTGGAAACTGTGAATATATTCCCTTACCATAGCAAAAGGGACTTTGCAGATATGATTAAGGTTAAAGACCTTGAGATAATCCTGGATTATCATGATGGGCCCAGTAATTATGAGTCTCCTTAAAAGTGGAAGAAACAGCATAAGAGAGTCGGGGGGACATGTGATTTTGGGAAAAGTGATTGGTGCAATGTGAGAAGCCACCATTGCTGGTTTTGAAGATGGAGGGAAGGGGTCATGAGTCAGGGGTGCAGGCAGCCTCTAAACCCTCAGAAAGGAATGCAGCCCTGCCAACACCTTGATTTTAGCCCACTGAGACCCATGTCAGACTAAACTACAGATCTGTATGATAACAAATTTGTGTTTTAGCTACTCAATTTGTGGTAATTTCTTACAGCTGCATTGTAACATTAGTACAAATACCTTGTACACAGTTGGGGTTCAGAAATACTAGTTGAATTACTAGGTTTTTTTCTTTATGTTACTTTTTTCCCTCTTTAAGAATTTCTGGGAGGCTGAGGTGGGCGGATCACTGAAGGTCAGGAGTTCGAAACCAGCCTGAGCAAGAGTGAGAACCCATCTCTACTATAAAAAGAAAGAAATTAATTGGGCAACTAAAAATATATAGAAAAAATTAGCCGGGTATGGTGGCGCATGCCTGTAGTCCTAGCTACTTGGGAGGCTGAGGCAGAAGGATTGCTTGAGCCCAAGAATTTGAGGTTGCTATGAGCTAAGCTGATGCCATGGCACTCTAGTCCAGGCAACAGAATGAGACTGTCTCAAAAAAAAAAAAAGAATTTCTTAGGTAAACAGAAGATAACTTAATCAATGTTTTATCTTGTCTTTTACTTAAATATATTCATGTCAGGCACAAAATACATGATGCTAAGCTAATGAAATAGAGAAAAATATTTTAGTCATGAAAAAAGAAACTTAAATAATTCATTTTCCTTCTTTAGCACCTGTTATGGAATTTGATTATACAATATGTGAAGAATGTGGGAAAGAATTTATGGATTCTTATCTTATGAACCACTTTGATTTGGCAACTTGTGATAACTGCAGGTACTTATTTTACTTCAGATAGTATTCTTAGTTACTAATGGTTTGCATGTAGGTGTAGGGCAAAACAGTAGTTATATCTGTTTGGATTTGATTTTCTTTTTTAGTAATTATGATTTTTATTTTGAGAGTTTCCTAAAATTTCTATGGTGTTCCTTTTGCCAAAGAAATATAGGAAGCCTGTGCTTTTCAAAGTTTACAATATGCCCCATAAAATAGGAAGATGCCCCTGGCTCTGCCATAGAAATTTCATTTTCCTTTCTGCTGGCCTGGGTTTTTTTTTTTAACCATCTCTCAGTAGCAAGTTTCTAACCCGTCTCTTCACCCAGCCCTGAGGATCCCTCTGTTTCTTACTTATTGCAGTGTGTGTTGATACCTTGGTCAGAGCACTGGGGCCTTTAATGAGAGGAGGGAAACGTAGAACACCTTTTTCTATTCATCTTTTGCTACCCTCATAAAGAGAACAGATGAGGGAAAAAAATCACATTTTTCTGTTATTCTTTTTCTTCTTCTCTTAGAGTTTCTCCTCTTTTCATATCACCCCGGCATAATCTTTCTCACTCTACATGGTTCTCCCATTGCTGTTTACCTAGCTGAATCCTGTGTTAGTGTCTTCCGCACATTGAAGGCCCTATCTTGGAATCTTATTTGGCCCTCTTACCTGCTCTCTGTTCCTGTTTTGTACCTGTAGCCCTAGATGAGCTCCTCAACTGCCTAGAGGACCCACCTTTTCAAAGTCCCTGCTGCAGACATTGAGAGCTGTCATCACTGGCTTATTGCTGAGTGGAATCCTCAGTAGATAGAATGGGAGATGTCTCTGGTCTCATGATCAGACACATGGCTGGGAATGTTCTGGCACCCCAGTTGGAATTATAAACTCATTTCCCATTGACATAGTGGTTAAGGTCCACAGTGTTATCACTCTCCTTAAAAGTCTACAGAACTTCGGGGAACTGAAGCATAGCATATAATTCTATTTGCATGAGAAAATGGAAGCACCCGTTGTATCAGTTCAAAGAAGTTGTGTAGTAGTCTGGAAACAATATGCTTTTGTGTTTAAACATAATGAGGCACACAGCCCTTTATTCTGTTTCCTTTCAACATCTTTGAAGATTATAATTTTAAAGTGTAGTCTGCATGTCTTCTTCCTTAGTTTATACTTCCAAATTATTTAGCTTTCTTTTTTTAAAAATTTTTAAAATTTGTATAAATATATGGGGTACAAGTATAATTTTGTTACACTGATATATTACATTGTGAATGTAACTCAGGTGAACTCGGGGCTTTTAAGTCCTTTGGTTCTGTGATATAATTCTCTGACAGAACCTTGGATTTCTCCCTTCCTTGACCTGTACCTGCTCTTTAGTGTTTGCCATTTCGGTAAAGGCCAGCTTCATTCATTGGCTATGCCTCTGCTACCCCATGTATAATTCCATATTCATGTGGCTCTATGTTCAGACCCTATCCAGAATCCATCTACTTCTCATCCTCCCTCCCACGGCTGCCTCAGTGTAGGCCACCATCAGCTCTTGCCTGGACCACTGCAGTAGTAGTGTTCTAACTGGTCTCTGCCCACCCCCGTTTTGCACCCCTGGAGTCTCCTCTTCATATAGCATTTTGCTCAAAACATTCTAATCCCATTTAGAACAAAACGGTCATCACCATTGCTTACAAGGCCCTGCCTGTCTCTCCCACCAATTCTCACCATCACTTACTGTAAGTGTTCTAGTTATACTGGCCCTCTTGCTGGGAGCTCCAGTTGCACTCCTGCCCTAGAGCCTTTGCGCTTGCTGTTCCCTTTGCTGGGAATATTCTTTCTGTAGCTGTTCAGACTTCTTAAGGGTTCTGCTCAAATGTCCCCTCATTGGTGTCCTTCTCTGATCACCCAGACTATCTGAAAATTTCTATGATTTATAGCACTTCTACCGGTCATCATTCAATTTCTTAATTGACTGTCTTCCCCTAACTAGAAGGTGAGCTTCGTTAAAACAAGACTTATTTATTCTCTGCTGTATTCCTAGTGCCTTGAACAGTTCCTGGCATGTAGATGAGAAGAACTGTGTGATGGACTTTGTCTCCATTTTTACCTTGGTTTTGAAAAAGCTTAAAGCCAACTGGAAACTCAGCTGTGTTGGGGTGGTTGAACCTTACATATTTATCTTATTTATTGACATCTTGACTTTATCCTTCAATTTATGTTTTCTTTCTCATTGAGTCTTTGTTCTCACTTATATTTGCTCTATTTTTATAAGTCATTTCAAATCCTTTCTGGAATAACAGGGACTTTAAAGACATTTTTAAGTTGTTAAATGGCATGGATCTGCTGCTAATGTGATACAACTTCTCAGAATAAGGAATAGATGAAGCACTTTTCTGTTACAATTTTTATGCTGCTAATTTAACCATGAGAGTTGCAGGAAAAAAGTATTTTATATGTCCCTTTTGGTGTGCATGCCTCTTGGTTGCTGGCCTATTTGAAAACTTAGTTTATTTAAAATAATGAATTTATGTAACAGACTTAATCTCTTTTCAGAGATGCTGATGATAAACACAAGCTTATAACCAAAACAGAAGCAAAAGAGGAATACCTTCTGAAGGACTGTGATTTAGAAAAAAGAGAACCAGCTCTTAAATTTATTGTGAAGAAGAATCCTCATCATGCACAATGGGGTGATATGAAACTCTACTTAAAACTGCAGGTCTCTAATAAGATTTATTCATTAATTTTAATTAATGGTTCAGGCAAAGTTTTAATAAGAACTAGTTATATTAATAATTAGTTTAGTTTTTTTCTTACAGAGAGTGAAAAAGATTCTTTCCCTTGTTTTGCATGAGTCAGAGTCATGACATTTAATATCGTAATGTTTTCATATTTTGCTTTTTGCTCTGGTACTTTGGAACAAATATGTTGCTATTGAGTGATGTTAGGAGTACAATTTGGAAACTGAAGAAATTCAGAATAGGAGTCAGACCCTGTTCCCCTGCCCCCTTCATCCCTACCTGCCCTTTAAAAAAAGAAATCTTAAAAAAAAGTCAAAATTTCAGGAATTATGAAAATACCTAAAATCTAACTCTATTTGAGAAATACATATGTGGTATGCTATCAGGTGTCCATGTAACTCTAGTATCTTTTAGAGCAGATCTTCTCAACTCCACTTGTTGCAGACGGGTTACAGGTGTGCCAAGTGTTATCCACTTAAGGCTGGGGCTGCTAGTGCACAGGCCAGTTGCCTTGAGTCACAAGCATCCTGTATCTACCCCAGAATAGTACAAATAGTGTAATAATCTTTTTGCATCATTGTATTAAAATATTGGGAGGCATTGCTTTAGAGCACAATTTGAATTGCAATATACTTAAAAAATCCCATATCTTCAAATAAAATTAAGAAGCCACCTCATGAAATAAAACATGTACTGAATTTCATTAAATATAAGACTATTGGTTAGAAGATTCACCATTATTTTATGTACATTAAAAATTTAGAAATGCTGCTAATTAAAAACCAACTAGTGCTTTTTTATCACTTGATGCTTTTATTTTATACTTAATTAACTAGTGCTCGTTAGACTTTATTGTAGTTTTTTGCCATATATCACCCTTGTACATACATAAAAGGGAAAATGCAAATGTAAAAGATTTATGAAGATATTCTTAAACTTCTTTACATTCAGAGTTTAATTCTTCTGAACCACATTTTGACTCAAAGTTGTCAAAGTACCAGTGAGCACATTGGTGAAACGGTATTTTCAGGGATGTTAAATTGTAGAAAATGCAATGTCTTAGAATTTATGAAATACAGTTACATCACTTCATTATGTTAAGCAGAAATCTGAATTTGGGTACGATCATTGAATTTTGGTCCCTTTAACATACTGTGAGAGGTATCCTGAGCATAATTCTTAGTGTGTAAATTATTCTCTTAAAATCTAAATAAATATTATAAAAAGTAAAGATATATATGTAATCCAAAGTTTTAAAACCAGAATGAAGACTTTTTAGGTCATTTAGACACCAAAGGGTTGTGTGTGTGTGTGTTTTGCCAATAATTTTTATTAGCTTTGCATTTTTTTTTTCTTTTTAAAAAATTTTAATAGATTTGGGGGTACAAATTGAATTCCATTACATGCATATATTATATAGTAGTGGAGTGTGGGCTTTAGTGTACTCATCACCTAAATCATGTACATTGTACCCCATATGTAATAATTTCTCAACCCTTAGCCTCCCTTCCCTTTTTTGAGTCTCCAGTGTCCATTATACCACTCTGTGTGGCCTTTTATAGCCATAGTTTAGCTCCTGCCCAAAGTTTTAAAAAACATTCATGTTCTACAGATCAGAAGTTAGTCAAGTAGATGGAAATGCTTATTGATCCAGAAGGAGATGAGGTGTGGTAATTGCTGATTTCCTGTAGTTGGACATAACCTCATATTCAATGCATCTGGTGACAGATACACTGTCAACAAACTGTTTCTTAGGTGAACCTGCTAAAAATCATCAAACCTCCTATGCACATGTATTTCTGTTGATTCCTGTGACAACAATATAGTCAGAGGACAACTTTTCTATTTATAATCTAATTCAGCATACATTTACTAAGAGTTTCATAGGTTTAGATGTTTTATTAGCAATGTTTCTTATTAATATTTAAAACCTTTTAAATTTCAAATAACTATAAATTTGTACTCAAGTTAAATCATTCTCTGGTAACTGCAGGTTTGATAATTATAACTTTATAATATTTTACAACTCTGAATCACAACTAATCTAAATATAGATTTGTGTTGTAGATTGTGAAGAGGTCTCTTGAAGTTTGGGGTAGTCAGGAAGCATTACAAGAAGCAAAGGAAGTTCGACAGGAAAACCGAGAAAAAATGAAACAGAAGAAGTTTGATAAAAAAGTAAAAGGTAAGAGGCTATATTTTTTATTATGAAGGATCGTGTTTTACCACTTTGCAAAAAGCCTTTAGCTGGATTCCTTCCATTTAAATACATCAAATATATAATATCACCAGTAGATTTTTTTTTTTATAGGTTGAAAAAAAATGAATTAAAGTTTGCCTTCAGAATGTTGGTGTTTGAGGCCCTCAATCCAAACCTCACAATACTGCATTTTTAAAAAGCACGTAAGCTTAAAGTGAATCAAGTTTTTATATAGGGACATTAGGATCAGGGATAATGTCCCTGACCAAGGATTTGGCATCAGTTAAATCTTAAACACGATCAACAATGTTATAAAAAACAGACACCTACCAACAAACCCCTCTAACTGCTTAAAATGAAAAAAACATGCCCTAAGTCTAAGTCACTTAATTCAGCAGCTAGAAGGAAATTTCTGATGTTAGCTAGTCTAATCACTTTTATTTTGTATATGACTAAAAGACCCAGAAAAGTGGAGAGACTTATTATATAGATAGTTATTGGCAGAGTTGGGACTGAAACCAGGCTTTCTTGACTGAAAGTCTTCATGAAGTACAGTCATTCCTCCATCCATGCATCTGTCTCTGCACGCAGCCATCTGTCTCCTTGTCCGTCTGTCTCTGCACTCATTTGTCCATGCATCCATCTGTGTATGTATACATCCATCCATCAGTGCATCCATATTTACTAAGTGTCAGCTATGTGCCAGGCACTGTGCTAACATAAATGCTAGAGTCACAGTTTGTCAGGAGAGAAACTTAAAACCATACTGGAGTGTGATAGGTGTAGTGGAGCAATGAACATAGGATGCTGCAGGACACGATGGGCACTTTCTGCTGTACCATAGAATCTCTAAAAAAGAATCTTACAAAAGTAAACATAAATGTTCTTCATGTAGTAATTATGTAAAGTCCCATCGTGGTGTAAAGTGTGTACAGACAGCACATATTTTCTGTGTATACCGGGTTAGACCTGAACTAAAGTCATTTAAAATGAATGTCCTGGCCACATATGTTTTTAGGTTTTAGAAGAGGTTTTGGAGAGTGAATGGGATGACTCAGATGTCTCAAAAACAAATGAAAAAGCAAAACCAAAAATTGAATGCAAGCCTTCCATGTTTCTTCTCATTGTGAGGAATTTCCCCCCCTTTTCATTACAAGTATAATTCAAGCACAGTGCAGAAAAGTTAGAATACTACTTTCAATGTATGTTCTTCCACTTCTTTTTTATGCATAGACCCTTTTAAAAGTTCTTGTATAAAAAGCACTTTTGGATATTTATGAAGTTTGTCAAGACAACCCCATGAAAAACATCCTTATATACATCTTTATATAAATTATAGTTACTCATCAATTACTGAATCATATGGTAAGCACACTAGTGTGGCTTCATAGGAGGTTTCCCATAGCAAACTGTGCCATATAAGAGCATTTTACTGAAAAATCTTCCTCAAATTAGCCACTGCTGTATCCAGTATTCAAGGATAGCTGCAAGGACTGATTGAGAGGATTTGAAAAAACTTCTATTGAATTTAGCCCTTTTCTTTAATCTTTTCAGTGTCCCACACCAGCCCTTTTTCTCTTCCTATAGCAAGGAGAGCCTTGAAGGATAAAGAAAGTAACAAAAAGGCATCCTAAGAGATATGAAAGAGCAGGGCATAGTTACAGATTTAATGTGTACTAGTCTAGGGTTTTTTTGAACCCCAGCTACCTGAAATCACCTCAGCTCTTCTCTCTGCTGCTTTAAACAACTTTCCAGATGGTATTTTGGCACAGATAATATATGAGATAAAAGAAAAAGTATTAATTAGAAACTTATACCTGCATAGTGATGAAATATTTTTTAAAAAGGAGAACTATATAATTTTTTCTTAGATACTAATTCTGTAGTTTGGTCATGATGTCATCTAATGGTATTAATAAATAAATTCCTATAATTTGACTAAGAGAATAAAAGATTATAGCATTTGTTTCATCTCATGCTTTTTTCTATAAAAATTCTATTAAGATAAGCATATTAAGTATTAGTATGAACAAAACTTTTAAAAATATTTTCATAATTTTCATTAGTATTTTTTAAAGAAATATGAACTTGGCCGGACGCGGTGGCTCACGCCTGTAATCCTAGCACTTTGGGAGGCCGAGGCGGGCAGATTGCTCAAGGTCAGGAGTTCGAAACCACCCTGAGCAAGAGCGAGACCCCGTCTCTACTATAAATACAAAGAAATTAATTGGCCAACTAACATATACAGAAAAAATTAGCTGGGCATGGTGGCACATGCCTGTAGTCCCAGCTACTCGGGAGGCTGAGGCAGCAGGATTGCTTGAGCCCAGGAGTTTGAGGTTGCTGTGAGCTAGGCTGGAGCCACGGCACTCACTCTAGCCTGGACAACAAAGTGAGACTCTGTCTCAAAAAAAAAAAAAAAAAAGAAAGAAAGAAAGAAAGAAAAAATATATAAACTTAAATATATTGGTTTTTTTCCTTACTATGTTAAATTGCTGTCATTAATCACCAGACATGCTACTATGGATTTTCCTCATCCTTGAACCGTTCAAATTTGCTCTGAAGTTTTTCAGAGTTAGACCTCTTAGGACTGTTCATCTCTTGTTTGAACGAAGCATGTCTTTTGAGGAAATTTTTCCAAGTGGTTACATGAGCGGTACATTTTCTAAGTCTCTACAAGTTAGAATGTTTTTGGTTTTTTGCATGTGAATATCTGAATTCTGTCAGTTCTATAAACATTAAGCCGTTGTTTTCTGGTGTCGAATGTGCAGAGAGGTCAGTGTGACTGATGCCGTCTGTAATCATGGCTTCTTCTCTACTTTACTTCAGATTTACTTTAGAGGTTGGTGGATATGTTCCCGTCCTCCTGTCTAGGCCACAAAGGGCTGAGTGGAGTAGACACTGTAGAGATTAGAAACAAGGAGCTTACTGTGCAGTTGGCTCAGAACAGAGAGGAATAAAAGCAAGTCTAAAAGTTTTTTAGTTGAAAAGAAATTGGAACCTGGTTCCTCTTGGCCTTCTGATTTTGATCCACAAAGAAGCTGACTCAAAGTTTACTTCTTTATGGAAAGGTAAGAGATTACATATGCCTGCTTTTAGAATATGATGTCCTATTTTAGCAATTTCTAAAATTCATCTTACAAAAAAAATTAAAGTATAAATAGTATAAAGTATATATAAATAGACAAGGTGAAAGATAAGAGTTTTCTTGTCAGTGAATTCAAATTGTTACAGATTTCTTAGATCCAAAAAGACAGAGGTAGAGATGATGCCATTACTGCTGCTCAGTTTAACTGGATTTCAAAATTCCAGTATGCATTGGCCTTGATTTGGGATGAGAACTTTCAAATGTTTCAAATATACAGAACGGTTTGGGTTTGCATGCCTTGGAGAGAAGGCTTTTCTTTAGTTATACTCAGCTTTCTCTTATTTAGTACTAGTAGAGGTTACCATTCCAAAAAAAGGAAAATAAGTTAATCTTCATTATTTGTTACTATGTACTTCCTAAAAGAGGTAGGTAAGAAAATCCCATCTGGTAGACCCTTCTAAATTTGTGGACATTTTACATCCTGGGCCTGTAGTTGTATTTATGACTGTTTTGGGGCTTCTCTCAGGAGAGTTTGGGGACACAATTCCCTGTTACTCTGTTTTAGTTTATAAAGGAGAAAATAAGATCAAAGCATCATATATTATTGTGTCTTTTCCTTATAATTATTTATCTCCAGCAAACAAGGGGTGCCCCAGGTCAAATCTTCCTGCCCTCCCATCAAGTATTTAGAAGTATCTGGTCTTCCCTCAGCTATTTCTCTTATAAGTTTACCTCATAAGCAGCACTGAGTTTCTTTGAATACATACACACTGCTTCTTGCAAAATTAAGATATTAAACTGAATACAAGTTTTAGAGTGGTATAAAATAAGTTTTTCATTGAAACAAGGATTTAGGGGAAATCTTTTTTAGGTAAAATGTATGAGCAGTCCCTAAAGATATCAGTAGCAAAACTGGTTATCATGAACATGTTTATAGATCTCCAGGAGAGGCAGTCCTTAGGTAACAGCTCTCTGTGTTACCTCTTTCTAGGCCAATGGCACCAGGGGGCTGTAACATGGTAAACCACTGTTTTGTCCTCTAGCCTCCATTAGGCTTTCAGTGCTACATAGGATGTGTCCCCCCACCCCTCCCCGACTCGGCATCCGAGGTGTCCTTAGCATCCTCAAGGTCTATTTCAGATCTATTATCACTCTTTTTTTTTTTTTTTCTTTTTTCTTTTTTTTTAAATAGAGACAGGGTCTCACTCTTGCTCAGGCTGGTCTCGAACTCCTGAGCTCAAGCTATCCTCCCACCTCGGCCTCTCAGAGTGTTAGGATTACAGGTGTGAGCCACTGCGCCCGGACTATTCTCACTTTTCTGAAGTCTTACCTTTTGACACCTGTCTTCTCATTCCTAGCAGTAGACAGTTGATTTCCACTTTCCTGAGTTTTACGTTGTTGTTAAATGAAGTAATGTAAAAAAATTATTAAACTTTATTTTAAAATTTTTGATTTAACAGATGTTCACATTTGCCATATTTACTTTTTCTCTCTTTCATACATACATAGTTTACTGAATCACTTAAGAGTTAATGCAGATATTATGGTTCTTATAAATGTGTCAGCATGTTTCTCCTAAAAACAGTGGCATTCTATATAACTAAAGAACAATGATCACACTCAAGAAATTTAACATTAATATAATGCTATTATCTAGTATATAATCTGTTTAATGTTCCCCAGTTGTTTCAGTGTCCTTTATAGCTTTTTATTTGTTGGATCCATGTGCCATTCAAGGATAAGACATATTGATAGTTACTTTCAAGCTAGGCGCTCAGCCTTTTTATCTATCATGACATTGACTGTTTTTTTGAGACAAGGTTTCACTATGTTGTTCAGGCTAGAGTGCAGTGGTATCCTCGAAGCTCACTGCAACCTCAAACTCCTGGACTCAAGTGATCCTCCTGCCTCAGCCTCCGAAGCAGCTGGAACTACAGGCGTGCACACCACCACACCCAGCTAATTTTTTTTTTTTATTTCGGTATATTATGGGGGTACAGATTTTAAGGTTTCAATAAATGCCCATTCCCCCCCTCCCCCCACAAGTCTGAGTCTCCAGCATGACCATCCCCCAGATGGTGCACATCTCACTCATTATGTATGTATATACCCGCCCCCCTCCCCCCTGCCCAATACCCTATTACTGCAGTACCTATGTGACCACTTAGGTGCTGTTCAGTTAATACCAATTTGCTGGTGAGTATATGTGGTGCTTGTTTTTCCATTCTTGGGAAACTTCACTTAGTAGTATGGGTTCCAGCTCTAGCCAGGAAAATATAAGATGTGCTATATCACCATTGTTTCTTAGAGCTGAATAGTACTCCATGGTATACATATACCACATTTTATTAATCCATTCTTGGATTGATGGGCACTTGGGCTGTTTCCACAGCCTTGCAATTATGAATTGTGCTGCTATAAACATTCGAGTGCAGATGTCTTTTTTGTAGAGTGTCATTGGATCTTTTGGGTAGATGCCCAGCAATGGGATTGCTGGATCAAATGGTAGATCCACTTGTATCGCTTTAAGGTATCTCCATATTGCTTTCCACAGAGGTTGAACTAATTTGAAGTCCCACCAGCAGTGTAGGAGTATAGAATTTTTTTATTTCCATCTTGATTTCTTCATTTATGAAGTAATCATTTGGTAGGAGGTTGTTTAATTTCCACGTTTTTGTGTAGAAATGTGAATTTCTGTTAGGGTTGATTTCTACTTTTATTCCACTAAGATCTGAGAAGGTACATGGTATGATTTCTATTTTTTTAAATTTCTTGAGATTTACTTTGTGTAAATCTCTAGGATATGGTCAATCTTAGAGAATGTCCCGTGAGCTGATGAGAAGAACGTATATTCAATGTATTTTGGGTAGAATGTCCTGTAGATGTCAGTCAGACCCAGTTGTTCCAGGGTTTTGTTTAAGTCCATTATTTCTTTATTAATTTTCTGTTTGGAGGATCTGTCTTGTGCCGTCAGTAGGGTGTTGAAATCTCCGGTGATTATGGAGTTGCTATTAATCCTTTTGCTTAGATCCAGTAAGGTTTGCTTTATGAAACTGGGTGCACCTAAGTTGGGTGCATATATATTTAAAATTGTTATCTCTTCTTGTTGAAGTATGCCCTTCACCATTATATAATGACCCTCTTTTTCTTTCTTTTGTTGGTTTAAAAACTAAATCGTCTGAAATTAGAACTGCCACGCCAGCCTTCTTTTGGCTTCCACTTGCCTGGAATACTGATCTCCACCCTTTTACTTTTAGTCTATATGCATCCTTGCAGGTTAGGTGTGTTTCCTGAAGATAGCATAGACTTGGCCTGTATTTTCTTATCCATTCCGCCAGCCTATGTCTCTTGAGTGGAGAGTTTAAGCCATTCACATTTATTGAGAGAACTGATAGGTAAGGTAGATTACTGTTCATTCTGTTGGGTTGGATGTTGTTGCTTTGATTTCTCTCTTGAGCCATTGTATTATCTGGCCTTTAATCTTTGGGTTTTGGTTGTTTTTATATTCGTGAGTTTTTATTATGGTGTTCCGTGCGTAGCACTGTTTTGAGTACTTCTTGTAGGGCTGGTCTTGTCTTGGTGAATTCTCTGAGCCTTTGCTTGTCTGAGAATGTCTTTATTTCTCCTTCATATATGAAGCTTAGTTTTGCAGGGAAGAAGATTCTAGGCTGGGCATTGTTTTGTTTCAGAAGAGTGAGAATGGGGCCCCAGTCTCTCCTTGCTTGTAAAGTCTCATTAGAGAAGTCTGGTGTTATTCGAATTGGTTTTCCCTTGTATGTCACTTGCTTCTTTCGTCTTACAGCTCTTAGAAGGGCCTCTTTAGTTGATATTTTGGTCAGTCTGATGACTGCATGTCGTGACATCTTCCTGTTTGCATTGAATCTCCCAGGGGTCCTCTGAGCTTCTTGAACTTGTATATCGAGATTTTGAGCAAGGCCTGGGAAATTTTCCTCTATTATATCTTCAAATAGCTTGTCCAACCCTTGGGTGTTGTCTTCTTCCCCTTCTGGTAACCCTATGACCCTCACATTAGGTTTCTTCACATAATCCCACATCTCTTGTAGGCTTTGCTCTTTTCTCTTGTTTCTCTGCTCTATCTCTGTGATGGTTTTATTTAGTTGGAGGGTGTTATCTTCAAGCTCTGAGATTCTTTCTTCTGTTTGATCTACCCTGTTCTTGAGACTTTCCACTGTATTTTGTAGTTCCCTGAATTGATTCTTCATTTCCAGGAGTTCGATTAAACTTTTCTTCATTGTGTCCATTTCTTTTTCCAGATCCTGGAGGCTTTTTGTGGTTTCTTTGTGTTGGTTATTGAGTTGTTGTTGCAGCTTGGTGAGTGTTCTTATGATCCACATACAGAATTCCTCTTCTGTCATTTTGGTTGCCTGATTTGGGTTGGTGTCCGTTTCTAGGGGGCTGGTGCTCCTCTTTGGGGGTGTGTTTTCCGTTTGGTTCTTCATATTTCCTGAGTTCCTTCACTGATTTCTTCCCATTTTGATCAGTTGTTGTTTCTTTCCTTTAGGTTTTTGTTTGGGTATTCACACACCTTGTTTAGTTTCTGAGCCGTTAGGTGGTGTCTGTGGGTGAGATTGGACCACTCCCTGTATATTGAGTCAGTGGGTGCCGTGATAAGGCTGTGCAAGATGCCGTCCCTGTCAGTAGGTGGCGTTTGCTTGGAGGAACAGGCTATGCTGTTGTTTTTGTGTCCTGTTATCAGCTCTTGTTCTGGGCGGAGCTGGGTTGGGTAAGCCTGCCCTCAGGCACCACCAATGCCATTAGCAGGGGTCAAAGTTCTGTTCTCTGCTTCCAGGAAAAGCTGTCAGGGCGGGGCTGGAATGGTCCCGCTCAGCCAGAAAGTCTGCTTGTGGGGGTGGGGCTGTCTGAGACCCGCAGTCTGGAGCAGGCCTCACTTCTTTCCACCCTCCCCAACTCTGCAGCTACTCCTGGGCCTCTGCCAGCAGGCCAGACCACATGCCACCAGGCCTCCCCAGACTGTGATGCCGGCGGGGAGGTTCCCTGCACAGGAACGCCACCTGGGTTGGGCGCACGGCCTCCTCCTGGGAGGAGGGTTGCCCTCTAGGACGCTGATCTGCCCCTGGAGGCACACACACCTCAGCAGGCTGTTCACAAATATCCCTTCTGTGCCCCGGGCAATGCTAGACCTCGGTGCAGGGGATCTGGTCTGCAGGTCCGACCTCTGGGTCCCAGAGTTCAAACTGTATCCCCACCAGGGAGAGGAGTTCCGGTCCCAATTCACCCACAGGGAGCCTAAGCTGTGTCTGTGTCTCTCAGCCTCTGAGTCAGCACCGTTCTCCTGCACACCCAGCTAATTTTATGTAGAGACAGGGTCTATGTTTTTTAGGCTGCTCTTGACCTCCTGGCCTTGAGCAAATTTCCCGCCTTGGCATCCTCCTAAGTTGCTAGGATCACAGGTGTGAGCCAGTGCACCTGGCCACATTGACATTTTTAAAGTGTCCATGGCAGCTGTTATGCAGCATGTCCCTGTGGATTTGTTAGCAGCTTGTTTCCTCATGATTTGAATATTTTTGGTAGGAATATTCCTAGGTGATATGTCCAAGAGCACATCAGGGGATACATGGTACCAGTTCCCCTTGAAGGGACTTGTAGTTTGACTACTTGGTTAAGGTGGTGTCTGCCAGATTTCTCCATTGTAAAGGTACCATTTTCTCTTTGTAATTAGTAAGAAATCTGATGCCATGTGAATATCTCATTCCTTACACTTCACTCAGTGGTTTTAGCACACAGGGATGAGTCTTACCTGAGTCTGTTATTAGGGTGGATGGATATAAATGTTGATTTTTCTACTTTTGTCATTCCTTCTGCAATTGTTACTTGGCTTCTTTTGGAAAGTGTAGCCTTTCCTCCTCTATTAAAAATTGATTTTTTTTTTTTAACATCAGTTGGACTCATGGATTCTTATCCTGGAATCAATGTATTATGGTCCATTCCTGTCATTATTCATTTTGATGCTCAAATTGTCCCACAGTTGGCCAATGGAGTTCCCTTCAAGATAGCTGTCTTTTTTAACTTTTTAATTTGGAAATAATTTCAAATTTACATTAAAAAAATACAAGTATAATAATAGTTCAAAGGACCACCCATATATATCCTTTACTCAGGCTTACCTATTATTAACATTTCGTGCCATGTGCATCATCATTTGCATGCTTCTTTCATTTGCACACACAGAATATTTATCTTTTCTGAACCATTTAAGAGTAAGTTGCATACATTCACCACCCTTTACCCCTAAATAGTACAGTGCATCTTTCCTAATAGGGATATTTTCTTACATAACCAAAGTATCATTAATGAGTAAATTTAACATTGATATATTATTTTTATCTAATCTGCCATCTGTATTCTACTTTTGTTAGTAGAACCAATAATGTTCCTTGTAGTTGAGTCTCTTCTAGAATAGGATCCAGTCTGGGATTGGGTATTGGCTTTAGGTACCTTTCTAAACCCTTATATGCTGGGATATTTCCACAGCCTTTGTCTTTTATGACATTGACGTTTTTGAGGAAGAGTGTGCTTGCTTCCTCTGCCCTGCCTTTTTGAAAATGTTTCTCACTTGGGGCGTTTCTAGTGTTTCTGGTGTTTTCTGCAGGGTGTGCATCTCAGGCCGGGGAGAATACATAAGTGATGTGCCTGTTTCAGGTCCTCACATCTGGAGGCATGTGGTGTCTTAACAGCCCTCAGTGGAGATAATTTTAACTTCTGATCTGTTCTTAATGCTTCCTCCCTACGTTTAACATCCATCTATTGATGCTTCTTGCTGAAACCAGTCTTTAGTGTGAGCGTTGCAAGACTTGTTTTCTAATTCCAGTACTCCTCCTGTGCTCAACCAGCCGGCAGTCAGCATTCTGCAGCATCCTTTCCCGTTTGTTTATTATTCGGGTGGACTCATTTTTATTTTTTTATTAGCTTTTGGCACGTTTCTGTCCTAATTATTTTGGTGTTCAGATAGTCTCCGATTTGGCCCAATGACTATCTCTTATGTCCTTTTGACATGTCATCATTTTTGGTGCACTTCTTCTAGCAAAAAGCACATGTATATTTCTGTCTGTATATATACACACGCACACATGTATATATATCAAAAACCTTGAGTTTACACTGATACATCCAGTTCTAATCCAAAATTTCAGGGTGCATTTTAGTTTTCTTCCTTATTATAACTCCCTTCTCTGGCAATGAGAACTCTGGCTTCCATTATCTTCAATATAGCGACTTGATCAAAGCCCCTATATGTGATTAATTTACCATCACTTGCTGCTCCCTCTTTTGGGAGAGCTCTCCTTACCTCTCCTGGGCTCTCTCCACCCTACTAGGGATGCCCACTTTACCTGCTCCACTTAATGGCTTTAGGACTAGATTGTTTAGAAAGGGAAAGAAGGGCAAGAAAAAGACAAACTTATCAGTTTTTAAATACTTTCTGGCACAAGTTTTTCCAAGACTGTGTAGTAAATATGGAAGATAGGGCTTTATTCTTATTTACATGGCTTGATAGACTAGCTGAAGAATGGGAAGAAAAAGTCAAAGTCTGTATAAAACCTTAGGTTCAATTATGGCTAGAAAGCTAGATTATTTTTGCTGTATTTTTTTAATGTTAAGAAAATTGGCCGGGCACAGTGGCTCATGCCTGTAATCCTAGCACTCTGGGAGGCTGAGGCGGGCAATCCTTTGAGCTCAGTTCGAGACCAGGCTGAGCAAAAGCGAGACCCCGTCTCTACCAAAGATAGAAAATATTAGCCAGGCATGGTGGCACATGCCTGTAGTCCCACCTACTCGGGAGGCTGAGGCAGGAAGATCGCTTGAGCCCAGGAGTTTGAGGTTGCTGTGAGCTAGGCTGACACCACAGCACTCTAGCCTGGGCAACAGAGTGAGACTCTGTCTCAAAAAAAAAAAAAAATAAATAAATAAAAAATAATTTTCCTTTCTTCTTCCCTCCCCTCCCATCCTTCCATTGATCTGCAGTCAAATTTTGAGATATTTTCTCAGTGGGGTAGTAATGTGGGTAGGATACCTTACATCAGAACAGGGTTGAAAAGCAGGTAGTGGAACTCAAACAGCAAACATATTTCTACTATTATCTGAAATTAGGAGGAATCTGTGTAGTTCTAGTCAGCATATCATTTCATTTATTTTTATTTTAAAAATGTCTTAAGCAAAATTAATAAAAGGAGGTAGAGCATTTCAGATATATCTAGAAATACCAGGGTTGTTCAGAATGAGAGGAGACTGACAGAAGGTTAGAGTTTGGGTGAACATGATTTCTCCCCCAGGCTGGAAACTATCTACAGGTGTTTTTCCAGCATTGAAGCTGAAAACTAATTTCAAAGAAAGTGCTTTTAATCTGGAGTGAAAAAAGCAGCACAGCTTAGTGGTTAAGAACATGGATCTGAGCTAGACTGTACCTTTGTCATCAACTGGCTCTTTGACCTTGGGCAACTTACAACTTCTTTGTGCCTTCGCTTTCTCATCTGTACAACTGGGATGATAGTTCTACTTACCTCAAAGGGTTGTGAAGATTAAATACATTTAAAGTGCTTAGAATAGGGCCTGATACATAGCCCTATGTGTTTGCTTTTACCTCTCATGATATAATAAAAGCTGAAAATACAAAGATTCTGATACTACTTATCATAGATCTTAAATGGATTAGAAAAAATGTGATTACTTGGTGTTAGCTGGCATTTATAGTTGAGATCAAGATACTATCATAATCTCTTGGGTGGTGTTTACTGTCCAAGACAGTGGTGAGCTGGTGGATCACTGGTGAGAATAGAAATGTAAACAATTAGTGTTGCTTTTTATTCATTAAACTAGGAACTGAGAAGTTACCAGCTTGTTAATTTCCATCAGCACAAAGTTTTGGTGTGTATCTTAAGGTAATATGGAAGGTGAACTTTTAAAATATGATTGACTTAGTTGCTTTCAGATAATTTTCTCTATAAAATGACTTTAACCTGAGATAGCAGAAAAAGCTCCTAATGTTGGGCTAGGATGGCCTTGGTTCACATGCTGTCTTTGCTCAGTTTCCCTACCTACAAAATAAAATGAAGTAAAATAAAAACTCCATGGTTCTTTCCAGCTCTTAATATTCCTTGATTCTTATTTTTAGGTTGTACTTTGCAGTAAGCAACCTCTCTCCTAAAATAATGCTGTCATTTATAATATAAAGAACTTTAACAGACTTGAGATCACTTGCATGAGCACATTTTCTAACATGAAAACACATTAGCATAGCAGTAGAGTTCTTGGCTTTCTAATTTTCTTGCGAGCAAAGCTTGACTTACCTCTTATAGAAGGTAGCTCTTGCCTTACAGACACAGAAGTTAGAAATACTACTTTTCTTAGTTAATCTCAACTGACTCCCCATTACTATTATGGCATCATGTTACCTGAAGTCAAACGTGTCTCAATGTACCCGGTTCTGTTACTCCCCTCATTTCCGAATTTGGTTCTCTTAACCATATACCCATTTCAGAATCTCATTTCATACTACTCCAACAATGACTTCAATGATTTCACTGGCCAAGGTGGTCAGGTAAGAAAGTAAGCCTGTCAAGTTTGTATGATCAACTTTGATTTGTTATAAAACTGAGGTTATAAATTTAAATACACATACACTGAAAGCCTGATCAATTTATTTTTGGATTCAGCTAAAAAGCACCACTGAAAAGCTGTATTTTTTTGTCAGAATTGCGGCGAGCAGTAAGAAGCAGTTTGTGGAAAAGGGAAACGATTGCTCATCAACATGAATATGGACCAGAAGAAAACGTAGACGATGACATGTACCGGAAGACCTGTACTACGTGTGGCCATGAACTGACATATGAAAAAATGTGATTATTAGTTCAGTGATCCATTTTATAAAATTTTATATTTAAATAAAGGAAATTTATAATAAATTGTCCCTGTTCAAAATTCCCCAAGACATAATGTCTTCATAGATGAATTAAACACTTGTATAACTAATGCTTCAGTAATAATCATATGTTATGGCCTGGCAGTGTGTAGAATGTCAGGTCTGTGATTGCTTTTTTATAGCAGGATAGGAGCTGAGTGGTAGAGGAAGTTCAAAACTACAAATTGGGGAACAAGAAACCAAGGCAAACACTAGACTCCAAGTCAGGTTTTTAAAAATGAAAACGTTATCTTCAAGGTTAAATATCTGTTCATCAAAGAAGGTGCTAATATGTTTATCCTAAGTACTGTTAACATTTACCAGGAGCCAGGCACACACCATGGTAAGTGCCTTATGGTTATCTTTTAGTCCTGAAAGAGAGGACAGCTTCCATGCTTGGCTAAATAAGGGTAGGAAGTGACAACCTACAACCTCAGGACACCCCAGGCAGTATCTGGATCAAGTTTAGCTAGTCAGATTTTCCTGCGTCTTACAGAAACATTACAAAATAGCTTGACTACAAGGTATTTTTTTTTTTTTGACAAAAATAAATACACCTTAAGGTAAACTGGGTATTTTCAAATTGTTTGACATGACTTTTTATCCTACGGTACAAACAGAAGTAAGAAGTTTATACATTTCTGTTTTTCTCTCTAGACCAGCTGGTGGAGATAATGCTTAGGGAAAGGCAAAGTCAAAACAAGCCCAAATAATTAGGATTGAGATATAATTAGTAAATGTTCTCCACATTCAACACAGAAATGTTTAATGTATTTTTCAAGTCTTTTTAATATGTACTATAATAATTATAGCTCAGTAAAAATTGATTCTGCATGGGTAGCAAAATCTCCCTGGGAACAAAAGCTTCCATCTTGATTACCACAGACTGACTAGGCTACTGACAATAGCCTGCATTGTCGGGGATGAGGAGCTCTTGAGCCAGAGAATCTAGGTTCAAATTGCACTTACTAGCTGTGGACCTTGGGCAAGTTACTCCATGAGCCTGTTTTCATCTGTAAAGAGGGCATAATCTCCCAAAGGACAGTTTTAAGGCCTTAATAGGGTGAATTGACAGCACCTGACATATAACCACTAGTTAATGAGCACGTATTTTACCAGAGCCATTACAGTTATAGATTTGTCCAGTTGAGGTATGCTTCTATTCACTTTTACCCTCATCAATTTAAGACAATCTAGTACCCAGACATCACTGACAGCCAATACTATTCTACCCAGGTTGGCTTTCCTCATCTTGCATTTTTAGGTATAGATTAGGAAAATAGCATATGTTCACTTTGACAAAAGCATGTTAAATTGCATTAATACAATTTAACAGTATATTGATTTATTGCGAGGTCTGACGGACAATGACATGCTACCCTTTTGTCTGTGTGAGCTTCATTAGTGGGGAAAGCGAATGTTGAATGTTTGTTCTTGAACCTTTATTTCTTCAACATTCAATCCCTAGTTCAGATTTTCCATATACCTAAGCTGCTGGACCGGACAGAGCAGAGTCACATCAATGAACAGTTGTTAGAAGCAACCATTATACATGAAGAGAGGCTCAAGTAAAAGGAAATGAAAACCTGCACATTTCTCTAGAATGTAGATCAAGTATAACTAGCCAAACTTTGCAGTATATTGTGAAAGGATTACAAAGCAGTTTGGATCAAAAAAAGTTCCCAACGCCTTAAAGATTATCCTTTGGCTTCTTGAGGACAGGAGTCATTTCAAACTCCAGTTGACCCTGGAACAAGACAGAGGTTAGGGGTGCCGACCCCCTGCACAGTCAAAAGTTCACATATAAATTATGTCTCCCCAGAACTTAACTACTGATAGCCTACTGCTGACCAGAAGCCTTACTGATAACAAAGAGTTGATGGACACATAATTTATGTTATGTGTAGTATATACTGTATTCTTATAATAAAGTAAGCTAGAGAAAAAAATGTTAAGAAAATTGTAAGAAAGAGAAAATACATTTACTACTGAGTAGAAGTGGAGCATCATGAAGGTCTTCATGCTTGTCATCACGTTGAGTAGGCTGAGGAGGGGATGGTCTTGCTGTCTCAGGACTGGCAGAAAACCCACATATAAGTGGACCTATGCAGTTCAAACCCGTGTTGTTCAAGGGTCAACTGTAGTTACATAGTGTATGCTGTGCTTAAGCTATGGGGAGGAACAGTATAAACAATATTTTTTAGCCAAGAACCTGTATTTTAGTCCTCTTTCTGCTAGTAACTGGCCACACAACCATGGATAAAAATAATTATTTCTTGTCATAAATGGTATGGTATTTAAAAATCCTGAGAATTCCTATCTATTGAATAGACTATATTCTATAGCCACTAAGAGGTATGATAAACCAAAGAAAAAAATACGTCAAAACATGGAAAACAATGCCTCATAAACTTATGATGTAATAAGTAAAAAGACATCTATGTTGTGCAAACGCACAAAAGTAAGTACCAATAGTTTTAGGATTATTGGTAAATTTTTTCTAAGGTTTAATAGAAAAAGTAAAAATCCTAGATATTTGGAATGTCAGGTGATTCCTTATACTTGTACGTTATTTTATAAAACTCTCTCAAATCTCAACACCATATAGGAAACAGGCTCAGGAATTAGTAGTTATTTGGACCAGGTTCCATAGCAAAACTCTAAACCCACATCTAACTCCAAGTATAGTTTTAGCCACTTTGACTACTTCTCATTCCATCTTGTATGTAACTCACTGTATGACCTTTGACAAATCCCTCTCAGAGGCTCCAAAACGTAACCAGATGCTCTAAGATAATGGTCGCAGACTTGGAATCACCTGGGGAGCTTTAAGTCCTACTGATGATGTCTGTGTTCTACTCCCAAAGATGGTGGTTTAAATTCCAAAATAATGTGAAAGATTACCAGGTGATTTATGTTAAGACAAATTTGGGAACTGTCAGCATAAACAGTAACACTTTTATATACTACAGTGTCTTAAGATACTACTTAAGAAATTAACATTTTAAAGAGAAAATTTCCAATGGAATATACCTCCAGTAAGAAACCACCAATTTTAAAGTAGACTGAAATGATAAATCATGAAATGCCAAAGTTTAAAAAACATACTTTTAGTTTTATTTAGGCCTTGTTAAGTTATCCACAAGCTGTTAAAAGCTACTGCTACTTGGTAATAAACCCATCAGTTCTACATACTATGTAAGCTTGACCTCTAATGTATCACATACCTCAAATCAGTTATTTTGTGCCTTAAGGAGAAAAAATATCAAATTGAATACAGAAAAGTTATATCTGTCACATATATAATACATGATGGTCATTGTCACATTATTGTCATTAGGAAATATTTACTTTTTAGGGGCAATTAAAAGTAAAGCCATATTCTTCACCATCATGCTCCCCTCTTTTGTTTCCTTTAAAAAGTGAAAGGACACTACAAGAAAGCAAGCATTCAAACCATCAAAAAAAAAAAAAAAAAGACAAATTATTTTAAGATGTTTTTAAAAAATCTTGACATGAGGGGGGGAAAATGACCCTTAGGCCTGCAGGGCACAGAACTGCTGGAACACAGCCAGGATGTGAGGGTCTAGCTCCGCAGTGAAGAGAAGGTTCTCCAGGGTCACCATGTACTGCTGGATTATCTGGTGATGCTGTGGACACAGAAAAGGGGGTGTTCAGTCAGAAAAAGCATGTAAGCAATTCTGTAGAACATTTTCCTCAGCAGCCCACCTGTACTGAGGGATAAGGTAGGAAAAAAATAGTGCTGATAGGAATAACAGGCCCCTGAAAAGCCCTGACATTAAGAAAATGTAAGAGAAGTGAGAATAATGGATGTTCAAGAACTTTTTAAAAAATACAATTAATGATTCAGGCAGTGGCAGCAGCATCTGCTTGCTGTTACTACTACTAATACAGACTAGCTTCAGCTGGGTCTCTCCTCTAATTAGGACATGACTTTTACAAAAAATAGCCAAGACAGGGACTGACCTAGAAGATAAAAAAAAGTGCCAGAAAATGAAACACTCCCTTCTATGTGTTTCTAGACAGATTTGAATATACTTGGAAATTGCTATAGGACTAGGTACTGTTAAAGATTTTTAACTGGTAGTAACTATAAAAACTAGAGGGAATTCCTATTTGGAGATTTAAAGATTTTTAATTTAAAAAAGATTTCCGCATTCATCACTTTTTTCTAGAACATATAAATGAGGATTTTGGGGGTTAGTATCTAAAGATACAAAGAATTAGCTCCATTCTTCCTACATATCTTTAACTTAAATTTAGCTGAGAGTAGGTGCTGGCATTTTGCTTTTGCAGAGAGACCCCAGGGAGCTTACTTTGCTTCTGTGGGCTCTGTTAATCCTCTCAACATTAGATTTTTAAGGACTTTTATAAGTCCAATTACTGTTCCCTTAGCATTTTTTTTCTCTACATTTTATATCATAGCTCAGCTTCCTAACACAGAAAATGACAATCAGGAATCTAAGTGATATAGAACCAATTTAAGCCTAGAGACTTTTTTTTTAAAAGTAGAGATTATCCTGGGTTAAGTCTAGGTATTCTGTCTGATGAACAATAGTAGCAGCAAATGGACACGAAGTAAAGTGCCTACAGGTACCACATAACCTCCTGGCAAATTTGACAAGGATTTTTTTAATGGAAAATCTTTGTGGCTGAGAACAGTGGTGTTTATTATCTAATTAAAGTTCCCCACAAACCTGCAGGAAGATCTGCTGGAGCCTCTCTATACAGTTCTTATACCATGGTGTTAAAACACTGGTCCCATCAGTTTCACATCGTACTAAGTGCTCAGTCAAGATCATGATAAAACGCTGGAAAGAAGGAACAAAGTTAAAGAAGGAGTAGAATTTTTTA